TAAGATGTCTCTGCGTGTACGTGGCTCATCTCTATCTGGTGTATTAAGTCCCCCAACATCTCCATTTCCAGCAGCAGCAAACCCCTCTTCTGCTGCAGCAGCAGCAGCAGCAGCAGCAGCAGCACCTGCTCCTGCTGCTGCTGCTTCTGTGCTGCAGCTGCAGCAGAAAGGTATACTAGCAGGCATCGGCAGCGCGCTGCTGGGGTCTGCTGCTGGCACCCTCATGGGGGGGGCCCAGCAGGCCCTCTCGGGGCCCTTTGCGTTGAATACACCGCAGACAAACCTAACAGCTAATCTGTCTCCTGCTGCTGCTGCTGCTCCTGCTGCTGCTGCTGCAGCACCTGCTGCTGCTGCAGCAGCACCTGCTGCTGCGGCAACGGCAGCAACTCCTGCTGCTGCTGCTGCTCCTGCTGCTACAGGGGGACTCTTTGTTCCTGCTGCTGCAGCAACAGCAGCAACAGCAGGAGATAATACACATAATATAACAGGTATTGTGATTGGTGTTGTTTTAGGTTTATTTGCTCTTTGTCTTGTTGGGGGATGTGTATGGAAACTAACAAAACAAAAAAAAAGAAAAAGATAGTTTATTTCTTTGTCTTTTGTTTTTTATTTTATTATATTATTATATTATATTATATTATATAAACTAAACAAAAAAAAAGAAAAAGATATATTATTTATTTGTCTTTTGTTTTTTATTTTATTATATTATATTATATTATTATATTAAATAAAACTAACTAAACAAAAAAAAGGAGATAGTTTATTTCTTTATTTATTTGTCTTTTGTTTTTTATTTTATTATATTATATTATATTATATAAACTAAACAAAAAAAAAGAAAAAGATATATTATTTATTTGTCTTTTGTTTTTTATTTTATTTAATTATATTATATTATATTATATTATTATATTATATAAAACAAACTAAACAAAAAAAAAGAATATAAATTTATTTCTTTTGTGTTTTGTTTTTTATTTTATATTATATTAAGTTATATTATATTAAATAAACAAAAAAAAAATAAAAATAATTTATATCTTTGTTTTTTTATTTTTTATTTTTTATTTTATTTATTTATATTATATTATTATATTATTATATTATTATAGAGAAGAGAAATAAACTAAACAAAAAAAAAACATAAATTATTTTCTTTGTTTTTTATTTTGTTAGTATATTATATTATATTATATTATATATATAAATATATTATATTATATTATATATATAAATATATTATATTATATT